ACTCCCGTCTCCTTCTCTCTCTCTCTCCTTTGCTTCCCCTTTTCCTCAGTTAGCCCACCTTGCGGTGGGTCTACTTCATTCTTTATTTCCCACTCTGCTTACCTCTGGACTTCCGCGGCAGCTCCCCACCTGGCCTGTCTCCTGTCTCCCACGTCTCTCCCTGCCCGACCCGCTCACACCCTTGCCGTCGTCCCCTGCCCCACAATCTCAGGTCCACCCCAACCACCCCACTTCCAATCCTTCACAGCCCTCCCCAAGGGCCCAGCTAGGGCCCAGCTGGCTAGGAAAGATGAGCAAGATCAGGGTAGACACATTACAGCCCGTCACCGCTCCTCTCCTCGTCCACAAGAGAGAAATCTTCGGAATGCCTAGAACCTTGGTCTACTGTTACAGCTGCAGCCCCACCTGAGAGAGATGAGGAGCACTCCAGCCACTGCCCCCCTGGCCACCTGCTGTCATCCAGCATTTCTAGATCTTCAAACGCCTGCGAACGCTCTTGATTCTCAAATGTTGGTGGATAACTGAAAATTGTTTAGACAAACAAAAGCACTCTGCAGGTCCCCCGTAAAAAAGATGAGAAACACACTCACAGACCGTCTTACACCTGTCACCCCTTAATCAGGCCAACAGGCCAGATTCCCCATCTTCTGGGTGGACATGGACTCTCCCACCCTGGCTTTCTCTCCAACACTTCCTTCCACCTCACCCGCCTTCTCCCTGTAGCTTTGCTGCCTGGGCCCAGCAAAAATAGCACCTCCCCCAGGAAGCCTTCCTAGACTTCTTCCCTCAGCTCAAGTGTCCTCCCTAATGAAACACTGACAGGTTGCACTCAGTGAGCACAGACCCCATCGCAGACCCTCGGCACAGGGTGCTGCAGGTACGTAATCCCGATCCCAAGCACCGTGAGAGACGAGAGGACAATCTCTCCTGGCAGGCTGCCAGGTCAGAATTGGCCCCACCAGCCACGTAACCTTGGGCAAGGTGCTTCACCTTTCTGTGCATCGTCACCCTCGTAGACTTAGTGTCAAGACCAAATGAGATGATGGGTGTGAAGTGCTCAACAAGGAGCCACGCGCCTTGTAAACGCTGACTAGAACTGTCAAAGTGAGGGTTCAGACAAGTTCAGGGGCCAACACAACGTCCCACGGCCACGGAGAAGAGCCAAGACCCCACCCAGGTCAGCGGCTCCAAGGCGCTCTTTTTCCTCCTACTCTTAGGATGCTGGCAGTTGCTCCCTTTAATTTCCATTATGACGGAAGAGTCCTAGAACCCAGGGGGATCTCCCTGTCTTGCTCACCCCTGCTGTCCCACCCGCCCCCCAGCCCCCAGCAGAACACGAGCTCCGGGAGGGCAGGCATCAGCTCCCAGCACAGACCCTCGCACACAGCAGCCCCAGGAATCCAGGACTCTCTGGCCAGCCTGACATGAGCTCCAGAGAGGCTGAGGCCAGGACCACAGCTGATGTGTCTCTGGGTTCCCAGCATCGTAAGTTACGAGGCCACATGGGACTCCCCATCCAGCACAAGAGAAGCCAGTGTTCTGTGAGCCCAAGGATCAGGCAGAGACAGAACTGGGGAAACCACACCAAGAAGGACCCAGGTCTCGGGGCCCCCAGCGGCCTGGCGGAATAGCACAGGGCCCTAGTCCCAGGTTCAGGTTGGCTGGCTGCTCAGCAGATGTGAAATGACGGCTCTCTGTGTTCCTACAACAGGGCCACTGACACTACCGTGTGACAGCCCAAACTCCCCCAACCGCCTCACAGGTCCTCGAAGCCTCCTGCCACCTGGATCTCAGCTCTCACCGCCTCACCACACATGTCCCAGCCACCCGTGAAAGTCACATTTGAAGTGAGGGGCTGGGTCTTGGAGTCCCCTGAGCCATTCGGCAGCCCTGCATGTACACCCCATCAGAGGGGGAGCCCAGAGACCCCAACCCAATGACTGATACCCAAGAGGTCTTCCAAACAGCCTTTGTCTCCCCTAGACCCCAACCTTGACCAAAAGAAAGAAGTCAACAGGAGCGGTAGCATTACAGTAAAGGGCCAAGCTCTGGAATCACACAAAGACCTATGCTCTAACGCCACTATGGGGCCTGAGGCTCAGTCCCACCCCCCTAAAATGGGGTGACCACCTCCACTCCAGGGTCCCCGAGGGCTTAGGACAGTGAGTAGCAGGCACCTGCCAAGGAAGGGCTCAGCAAGCGAGATCTGGAGTCTGTCTCCACCAGGAGGCCCAGGCCACAGCCGACTCCCCAGGGCCCCAACGTCCCACATGTGCCTCAGCAGGCAGAGGTCTCGGGCAGCACCAGGGGACAAAACAGAGAGGTTTAGGGGCTGTGAGAGGCATCTGAGCACAGGTGCCCCGAGAGCTGTGTACCCAGAAGTAACGACCAAAGCCCCTGGGGGGGCAGCCGGAAGCCCAGGGCCATAACTTTGCCATCACCCACCCTGAGCTCATCTCATCATCCCTGGAGCCCCAGGGTCCTCTTGGCCAATTCCTCTGTCCTTCAAGACTCAGGGCATGCCATCTCCTCTGGTCATCCTTCCCTGACCAGAAGGCCCTCCCTCTGGGCTCCTATAGCTCCCAATGGCTATTCTAACAAATCTCCCCATCCCTCTGCCTGGTGCTTCGGTGTGTACGTCTCCCCCTCAGGTCTCTGAGCTGCTCCAGTACAGGGATGGACGCCCAGCATCGCCCAGCTCTGGGTCTGGCCCAGGGGAGCCTCAAGAAACACATGCTGGGGGCCAGTCCCGTGGCCGAGTGGTTGGGTTCGCGTGCTCTGCTTCGGCGGCCTGGGGTTTCACTGGTTCAGATCCTGGGCACAGACACGGCACCGCTCGTCAGGCCATGCTGAGGCAGCGTCCCACATGCCACAACTAGAAGAACCCACAGCTAGGATATACAACTGTGTACTGGGGGGACTTGGGGACAAACAGCAGAAAAAAAAAGAAGATTGGCAACCGTTGTTACCTCAGGTGCCAATCTTTTAAAAAAAAAAAAAAAGAAAAAAAGAAGCATATGCCAAGCGACCCTCCTCTCTGACCCCACAGCAGAGCACTGTGCCAGGACTGCTGTGTCCGTGTGCCCGCCCAGTGCAGGGCTGAGCAGACGACTGGACAGTCATTAGCACGGACTAGGCTTGTCCAGGGAATGGCAAACTGCTTGCCATCTTAGGGAACTGAGGAAGAAACTGAGCCTGGGAAAGGGGAAGTGACAGGTCCAAGGTCACGGGGCTGGAAAAGATGGAACCGAGGCCCAGCCTAGGAACCACAGCTCCAGAGCCCCTTCCACTCACTTGACACCTTCCTCTCTGAGCTCTGCTGGGCTCTAACAGGATAGCATTAAGAGCCTTCCCACCAAGGTCAGTACTCTTATCATCATCCCCTCTTTACCCACGAGGGAAGTGAGAGATTAAAGCTGCTTGTCTAAGGTCACAAAGGTATGAGCAATGCAGCTGGGATCTGAACCCATGCCTGTGTGACCCCGGAGCTCTCAGCTAACACAGCAGTGCCGCTTGTGGGCCAGGCATGGGATAAACCTTCCCGTTCTTCAGCTGCGCCAGAGTGGGGCTTACATCCGGAAGGCTTCCAGGAGGGAACGGGCGGGCTAAGACATGAGATAACACAAGTAGGAGTCTGAGCTGAATGCTCTCTGGGGCTGAGGCAGAGGAGGACCAGAAGGGACTGCAGCAGAGGTAGACAAGCCAATGCCAGCTGCATTTAGCCAAAGAGGCTTACAGTCTTAGAGAGAAGATAAGCCAGGATCAACAGCAACTGTGCGGCCCCAGAACCAGGCCAGATCCGACTCCCAGCTGGATCCTCAGCACTACCCAACACAGGCCCTGGCACCAGGAAGCCACATGGAAAACACAAACCAAGCCGCTGCCTTCCTAAAACCCTGAATGCTCCCCTGGACTGGGCCGGGCTGGGTTGGGTTTGGAATATCATTCAGCCTTAAAAAGGGAAGAGATGCTGACACGTGCTTCCCTGGGTTCCCACAGCCCCCTGGACCTCCTGATGAGGGCTCCGGTCACCAGGTGGGGATTGTGTCAGGGTCTGCCTCTACGCCCACGGGCTCCAGGCCCTTGTTCATCTTCCTGTCCCCGGTGGCCTGCATAGACCTAGCACTTGAAGAGCCTCTGTCCACACTCGCTGCTGGCTCTCGTGTCTGTGGGTCACTTTTCCGTCTGATCACGCCATCCTGAACTTGCCTGACCCCCGGGGCCAGTGGCACTCATCTCGACGAACTGGGGTGTTCCCCTTTCCGGCGGGGATTAGGAGTGAGGGGTAAAGGAGCGCGGTCCCCGCGGGGTTCGCCGTGGGCCCGGCCACCGTCCCCGCCCTGCCCCGCGGGCCACGCGGTGCCTGACCTTGGCCCAGTCACTTCCCCTCCGGCGCACGCGCTTCCTGCCAGCCGCCCGCGCCGGGGCGAATGAATGAGCCTCCTGCCGGCCGGAACACCCGTAATTACCGGCCGGATCAAAGGCCGCACCTAGCCCGCCCGGGGCAGCAACGGGACCCGGGCTTCTTTGAAAAGGGCCCGAAGGAGGGAAGCAGGCCGGCGGCCGGGACGGACCTACAGGGACCGCCGTTTCCGGTCAGGCCAGCTCGGCCGCGCGGGCCCCTCCCCCACCGGGGGCTCAACTTCCCCCGGGAGTCGCCACCACTTCCGGCCACGACCGGCGGGGGAGGTTTAGTGGGGAGACGGGCGCCCCCTGCCCCGAGCCCCCGGCGCAGCGCACGCGCGCCCACTCCCCGGGCGCGCTCCCCGGCGCGGTGCCGCGCACGCGCACTGTCCGCAGCCCCTGCCGGCGCGCCCCCGCCCGCGTCACCGGCCGCGCGCCCACTCACGCCCCCCCAGCGGCGCGCACGCGCACTAGCCTGCCCAGTCGCGCTCGCCTCCCGCCTCCCCGCCCGCCCCCCCGCCCGCAGCTCGGCACCCCGAGGCGCGCGCCCACCCGGTCCCGGGCACACGCCCCCCGCCCCCGCGCCCTCCCCTCACCTCCTCGGTCCCGGGGCCGCCGCGCCGCACTCCTCCTCCTCTCTCCTCCCTCGCGGATGGTGGCAGCGGCGGCAGCGGCGACTCAGACCCTGGGGTCAGGGGGACGGGCGCCCAGGCCGGAAGTGACCTTCCTGGCCGCTTCCGCCCGCGCCGCTCCCCCCTCCCCTTCCTACCCCCCCTCCGGCCTGCACCCTGTCCTCGCCGCTCTAGGAAGGCGAGCCCGGCGACCCCCTCGCCGCCGCCCCCCCAGCTCTATGGTGCGGAGCGGGCGCCTCAGGGAGCCACTTCCGGACGCGTCTAGGACACGGGTCCTCCGTCCACGCTCTATGGCGCCGCGCTGAGGGGCTTCGGGCCCCGCCCCCTTCCAGGACAGGAGGCGCGGGCTCGACCCGTTAGGCGGAGACTTCCGGGTGTCTAGGGAGGTGCCCCCCCCCCACCCCGCCCCAGGCACCTCGCGCTTGCGCGGTCTGCTCCCCGCTCCAGCCTGGGGCGGGGGGGGCGTGCAGCGCGGCGGGGAGGGCCTCTCGTGCCACCCCGGGTCCTCCCGTCGTCTCTATCATTGTAACCCCTTTCCTGCCGACGCTCCCGGCGGTGGCCGGCGCCCGCGCGCGCAGAGGGTCCCTCCTCGGAGACCCTGGTCCCTCGTTACTGGACAAAGCGCCGCCTGAGTCCCACGCCTCCGTTTCCTTCTAATAGTAATAACGACACAGTGCGCGCCTCCAGGGGCTTTACATACTTAGGTCCTATTAGTAACCTATTTCCATTTTGCAGATAACGAGGGACGGAGAGGTCATGCTGATGCGGGGTCGGTGAGCCGAGGGTCAAAAGAAAGATTTCTTAGACTCTTAAGATCTGGCAGTAGTGCTCTTTTATTTAGAGAATAGTGTGGAATAGCATGGGGACAGGACCCATGGGCAGTCAGAGCTTCTGCTGCCGCCGCTTCTGCTGCCCCCGCTGGCATGGGGACAGGGCCCATGGGCAGGCAGAGCAGCTGCTGCTGCCCCCGCTGGCATGGGGACAGGACCCATGGGCAGGCAGAGCTGGTGTGTGGGGACAAGACCCACAGGCAGTCAGAGCTCCTGCTGCTGCCCTCGCTGGCATGGGGACAGGACCCATGGGCAGGCAGAGCTCCTGCTGCTGCCCTGAGTTGAGGGTTAGGGCTAATTTTATAAGGCATGGGTACGTGACTTATTTTTACTGGAAAAAAAGAAAAAGATGATGTAAAAAGTCATTAAATGATTTCAGTGCAGATGGGGTCTGGCTATTGTGCGGTCATATAACTTTAGATAAGAATCTGGCCATATAGATCGGCATGTAGGTGAGGATGCCCTGGGCTTCTCTCCCTGGGGCAGTCCTAATTCATACCATAAAAAAAACCCACTGGGTCATATAGTTTGGCATGTAGGCCAGGTCACCTTGGGTTTCTCTAGCTGGGGCAGCCTTAATCCACATCAATGCCACATGCCGAGAACGCAGAGCCTGGGCTTGAACCCGTGGGGTCTGGCTCCCGATTCTTGTATTTCACTGTGCCTGTGCACACCGCCTCCTGTACTAGAATATCGATCTAAGCAGCTAAGGATTCACCTGCTTCCCTCATGCAACCGGGCACTTAGTAAGCGCTCGCTGAATGTTAGATGTTGTTGCTAGTATTCTTAGATAAAATCGATATTTTTACATTGTGGTTTACACCACAGTATCCTTGCAGGCTGGTCCCTCTAGTCCCTTCCCGTTCTGTACTCGTCTGGCTCTCGCCTAATCTCACCCGTGCGGCAGATGATTTCTCAGTATTGCTTATAATCACTGAAACAGTCATCAAGCTTGGGAGTCTGAAAGATGGGGATGTGCAATTTACTTGTTGAATAATACCTTTCACAGCTTCAATTTAGTGAGATCATCTGTGTAAATTTGCTTAATGCAATTCCTGGCTTGTAGTAAGCTCCCAATGATAGTGGTAGTGATTAGTATTACTTATTAGTAATATTATTTCTACTACTGTGGCCAATGTATACCTTCAAGTCTCAGTCTGCATCAATCATAAGTTGTGCATTTTTGATTTATTAACGTCTTTCCAGGAAAAAGTGTACTGTATTAAATATGCATGTAAAGAGTAAGACAGGTCTGTGTCTCACCTTCAGAAATATCACAAAAGTAAAATTTTAAATAGCTCTTAGACAGAGGGAAAGTGCTATTACAAAGCAATGAATACGAATTATTATTATGGGTATGAACTTTATACCATGAAACCTGCGTGTAAGACATGTGTGTGCTCCTCTGAATCCATCAGTACATATTTGCAGCGGCCTTCTCGGTGATGGGGCACAGCTTCCTCCTCTCCTTCCAGTTCCCACCTCCCAGCTGGCCAAATTGAGAAGCTAGAGATCTGGAGCAGCTCTTAGATCACCAGAAGGAAGCCATCAACACACTGAGGATGGTGGAGCTACAAGATAGAAGGAGCAAGATGGACACTTGATGGTTTTGTGAAAAAAAGGCTCTGTGCCAGCTGAGATATTACATGAGAGAAATGACTTTCTAGCTGACTTAAACCATTGCTAATTCTGAGTCTCTTTGGAGACAGCCAAACCAATGTTAGGGTATTTCCCAAACAAGTTGCAGTAGAGGTGGCTAATGCACCACAACAACCTGCTCTTCCCTTCCAAAGTAGGGAGTTATTCCTGGAATGCTGCTTCCCGTCCAGGGACCACATTTGCCAGTCCTCTTGGCATCTAAGTGTGGCCTCGTGATTGGTTCTCACCAATAGGATGGAAGCAGAAGGGACACCGGCCATTTCCAGGCCAAGGCTCCTAAGAAACGAGCCTGCCTGCTCCATGCTCTTTCCCCTCTTACTGGCTGGACACAGACAGTAACAAGGCCATAGAGAATGGCGGAGCCCCAAGAAATCGGGGTCCCTCAACAACCATCTCATGAGGATACTCTCCATCACCCAATACCCAAAACCCATCCGAAATTGTTACATGATCAAGAAATAAACATCAAATTTGTACACCCATGTCTATAGCAGCATTCGTCACAAAAGGTGCTAACAACCCAAGAGTCCACTGACAAATGAGTGGATAAGCAAAATGTGGTACACATTTTGGAATATCATTCAGCCTTAAAAAGGGAGGAGGTGCTGACATGTGCTACAACATGGATGAACTTTGAGGACATTATGCTAAGTGAAATAAGCTAGACACAAAAAGACAAATACTGTATGATTCTACTTATATGAGGTACTTAGAGTAGTCAAATTCACAGGGACAGAAAGTAAAATGGTGATTTCCAGGGGCTGGGAGCAAGGGAGATAGGGAGTCCATGTTTAATGAGGGTGGAGATTCAGTTGTGCAAGAAGCAGAAAGTTCTGGAGATGGGTGATAATGGTTGCACAACACTGTGAATATACTTAACACTATTGAAATGTACATTAAAAATTGGTTAAGATGGGGAGGATGAAAGGGGTGATTAGGCACACATGTGTGGTGATGGCTTATAATTAGTCTTTGGGTGGTGAACATGACGTAACCTACACAGAATTTGAAATATATTACAGTGTACACCTGAAAGTCATATAGTGTTATAATCCAATGCTACTGAAATAAAAAAATAAAATAAATTTTAAAAAAAAAGAATAGAGGGGCCTGCCCGTGGCCGAGTGGCTAAGTTTGCACACTCCACTTCAGTGGCCCAGCGTTTCGCCAGTTCGGATCCTGGGCATGGACATGGCACCGCTCATCATGCCATGCTGAGGTGGTGTCCCACATAGCACTACCAGAAGGACCTACAACTAGAATATACAACGATGTACCGGGGGGTTTTGGGAAGAAAGAAAAGAAAAAAAAGAAGAAGATTGGCAACAGATGTTAGCTGAGATGCCAATCTTCAAAAAAAAAAAAAGAGAGAAAAGAATACACCAGCTTTTAAATCTCTGGGAAAAAAAAAAAAATTGGTTAAGATGGTAAACTTTGTTATGTGTGTTTTACTTCATTTAAAAAACTTTTAAGTAAAAAGTAAAAAGAAATAAGCTTCTAATATGATGTGACCTTATAAGGTATTACAACGTATAGAGCTTTGGTCTGAATCTTTGACTGCCCCCAAAATTCATATGTTGAGACCTAACTCCCAAGGTGATGGTATCAGGAGGTGGGGCCTTTGGGAGGTGCTTGGGTTGTGAGGGTGAATCCCTCATTAATAGGATTGATGACTTTATAAAAGAAGCTCCAGAAAGATCTGTCACCCCTTCCACCATGTAGGGGACACAGTGAGAAGTCGGCTGTGAACCAGGAAGGGGGCCCTCCCCAGAAGGCGACCGTCCTGGAGCCTTGATCCTGGACTTCCAGCCTCCAGAACTGGGAGCAATAAATATCCGACGTTCATAGTCACTCAGCCTGTGGTATATTGTTACAGCAGCCCAAACAGACTAAGACATATGGGTCTCTTGGTTACAGAAGCTTCTCCTACCTTAACGAATGCAGGGTTCTCAGAGGCTATGCAGTAGAAACAGCAGTGCTCCCCTTCGGGGATTCCTTAGCATCTAGATGGAACTGAAAGCCACAGGCCCAGTAAGATCACTGGGGTAGAGAGGGAGGAAGAGAGAGAGAGAGAATGGAGAGTGTGAGGATGGAGAAAGAGGCAAACAGTGGTCATCGGGCCCCAGGGATGTAAGCCTCAGGAACTGATCGCAGCCTGGTCTCTCACCGTGTGGAGGAGGAGGCCAGTCTGCAGGAGGAGATAACGAAGCTATCCCGGGAGGAGAGAGGTGGAGAAAGAGAATGACCGGGCTGAGTCCAGGTACCTCCGACACTCCCCAGCCCTCCGGAGGTTTGGATGTTCAGCTCTTCCTTCCGTTAAGGGAGTCTCTCCAGACTTCCTCCAGGAAATCCCCATTTTGGCCTCAGCGAATTCCACTTGGGTTTCTGTCACTCATAACCAAGAGAGCCCCCATCCCCCGCAGCACCTTGCGCCTCCCCCAGCTCCGTTCAGCTTTGAGATGAAGACGGGTTGGAGGCGGGACACGTAAGCCTCCAGGGAGGCTGTGCTCGCAGACATTCCGGAGTGCAGGGCCCCGGGAACAGCTCCCACTTTATGACCCCCTCACGTGTGCCCCTGATGGCATCCCCTCTGCCCAGCGACGGGAACAGCTGCAGCGGGCAGATCGGAGAGTTTGCACCTGTTCAAGTACAATTGCTGAGCAGTCCTGAGACAGAGAAAGACACACACACACACAATCACACTTTTCAAATGATCGTTGTGATCATGACAATGAGCAACCATCTCTTGGGTTGTCGTCATGGGCTGGACACGGTGCCGAGCGCTTTAGTTCAATTCACGTGCTTGCTCCTCATCTCCGCCCCGAGGAGGTAGTGAGGACCCTTCATCAAAGGGTGGACCTCCAGCACGCAGCATCGGTGTCGCCCCGGA